TAATAAGAGTTAGTTTCCTGTCATTTCCCTGTCTGTACGTTCTTGAGGTTTGGCAAAGCATGATATAAAGGTAATATTTTCATGTGTACGCGCTATTTTCTCTGTTTTCAAGTACATACTGTCTCTCCCGCAGAAGATAACTCCAGAGATATGGTTTTCAAAACCTTATTCTGAGTATTCTTTATTCTTTTAAGCATATTTGAAAATCTGCACGTTTTTTAATTAAACGTTAAGCGTGACGAATTTGGGCTTCTCCTTTCGCGAATCCCGTATTTACGCCTTTAGGTGCATGACATGAAAAATAATGCGTGTATTTTGGACCATTTTTTGGAACAATTTCTTTTTGGACCATTTTTTTTTTGGACCATTTTAAAGGGGGGAGCACACCATTAGTACTGAGGTAGGGGTGGGATAAAGTCTATCAGTACTGAGGGAGGGGTAGGAAGCAGAGTGTGATTACCCAGGGAGGGGCGAGAGACGGACTATTACTACGCAGGGAGGGGTGGGAGGTGGTTGTGCTAGTAAACACTACTGGTTAATGGAGCTTTTAATCGATCATACAAACTATTTTAATTGGTTTTTCGACTGAATTTTTGTATGTCTAAATTTTAGCACTGGGCCGCTGCGTTTCTTCATTTTTTTGTCGTGCGAAAGCGAAACTGCCACGTAAACACCGGACTTTAATTTTTATTGAAAGAGAGAGGGAATTAATAATTCCGTATTTATTACACAGAAAACTTTGGTTGAAGCTAACGAAACACATGATTTTTCTTTTAATCCTGAAAAAGGCATGTAGTGAGCTTCAATATAATTTTGGCTAGCTAGAGAAATGATCATATGGTAATTTGCATTTAAATAATCACTTAAGTTCTATGCAGTGGCGAAGAATCTAGATTTAATTTTTTACAGAACAAAATATACAGGTAAACGTTGTCAGTGAGACTACAGGGCAAGCAGAATTATTGTTTACCATTACTGCTAAAAGTTTACTGTTGACAAAAGTAAGACTTTATAGATTTCAACCAGGCAATTTGCGAAAGAAAATAATGTGCTAATTCAGCTTAATTTTAAAAAGATTGAAAATAGCGCAAATCGTTCTCTAATTTACACTGGTACATAATTAGAAGCTCTAAGAAGATGAATGGTTTAAACAGTATAAGGAACACTTACCATTTTGATATCAAGGAGAAACTCCTTTTAAAAGAGACTTGAGACGTGATATCAGTTTCTGTAAACAAAGAAATACGAATTTTAATTTATATCGGCTGTGATGCGTACTGCCGGGCAATGCAGTGTTTTGAGTTGACCTCCGATGCCCTTGGCTAATTTTAGGTCTTTAGCCTCTGCATAATTTAATATGATCTTTTTAAGAGCACTTTTATGAAACTATATATGCCTTTACGAAGGAAAATATCTTAAGTTAAATTTTTCATTCCCTGCAGGGCTGAGTACAAATCAGCATTGATAAATCTGTCTAGAACACTGAGAATAGACATTACGTGTAGCCCGCCATGAGCGAGAGACCGTGAACATGATAATCCTTGTGATGATAAACATTAAGAATTCCTGTCACCTCTCGGCCGATTTTAAAGCTAAAAATCATTTTATGAAATATCGCCGACCTAAAAAATTTTATTCCTTGCTAAAACCAGGAAATGATTGCTACTGAGTTGTATTTTTAGAACAGGAAAATTTCGAACGGTGAGTTTATCAGAATGCGGGGCCGTTCTGGAGTGGAACTCAAAAGAAAAAAAATAGTTTTATTCAATTTCTTGAATATCTTTTGTTTTTCAAATATTCCACGGTGTTTTGACAATTATTTTTTGGAGAGGAAAAAATTCAACCTAGTGGTCTAAACTTGGCATAATTTGAAGTACGTAGCTTAAAGCGGATGTGTGAAAGTATTCAAAGTAAGAGAAGTTTGGAAAAGTATAGTGCATATAACCGGAGACTTTCTTTCGTTTTCTACAGTCCTCTTTGGGTCCGTGTTGGAGTTAACACCATTCTTAATACCTATTTTCGTTAAAAGTCACGTTAAACAAGTTTCCTTTTTGGGGATAATTCCCACAGTTACTTGTCAGCGGGCCTAACAAAGGGAATATGTATTGACCAAGATAGTGAGCTTTCATTCATACTAGTTGCATGTTTGTTCTCAACGGTGGAAAAAAATTCACATAAATATTATAACCTTTACCTGAGAAGGTTTTTGAAGAGCTTTATTGATCAGGAGAAAGCGGTTTACCGTCACTGTGCAAACAAAGTTTAGGTATGCGTCCTCCGAAATGCTTACTAATTTGATGTCCTAACTTCGCAAACATTCCGCATTTTTGAAGGTATGCACATTCTATCTCCTGATGTACAAAGTTCTGACTTCGAAGATTTTTTCACTTAGCTTTTTTTTCTTGATTGACCGTCTAGCTTGGAAATCTACCTATTCTTATAAAAAAAAAAGTTCTAACCCCAAAGACCTTTTATAATAGTATTTAATTAGATTAAGTTAAATAGGTATTTAGAACGGTGTTAACTCCAACACAGACCCAAAGACTAGAAGTTAGTGGGAGAATTCAGTAGTTGCCTCTCTTAGAATAGAGTTCTATTGTAAAGGGGCTTTAGTCAAAAAGAAAAAATAGAAGAAAAATGAAAGTTGTGTTCATATTTTTCTAGGTCCATCAAACTTGATTCTGTCATGGAAATCATGGGAAAAGATGGACAATTTTCCCAGAGTACATGTAGCAAGGTGAGAAATATATTGAGTAAATAATAATTTTTGCAGCATTTTCAACCAACCCCTGATTGTTTACAATGGAAAAAAAATTTCTTGGAAAAGGTTGTGGATAATGATGGTATTATCATTAGTGTGAAAGATTATGCCCCTTGTTCAAACCCTCAGTTGAAAGCCAGCGATGACTTGATATATTCAGTTATAATCCACTGATATGTACTTCTGAAGACTGTTTAAATACTGTGGCTTTCTTCTAATAAAACCACACTTCTTAACTCTGTTTGTTAACCTTGCCAAAATCAGATTCTCTGCACTCATGATCTTTTTATCTTCTTTCCCAGGTGTCTTTTAACAGGAACTGTGTAACTTGAATGTCTTGCAATCAAGACTTAAGACCTGATTTCTTCTTTGTATGCTGAGTAATTCACAGCAATAAAATGTTCCAAACAGTATTTTTGAAGTTTACTTGCTTGTGTACCATTGACAGTAATATACAGTCCTGTCTGTATAACAACGTTAACTGTTCTGATATGCTGTTGTTCCAACTTTCACATCTGTTATAAAAAGATGCAGAAAGCAAGAACTTCCCACTTACTTGGGTCAGTGGAGATACAGTCAATGCAGGCACTAATTCCAGAACCTGAATTTATTTTCTTTGGCATCACCATTTACCAGTTGACATTGTAAGCAGAATAAAGATGTACTTATCATGCCTCTTGTAGTACAAATATAAAAATAATCTGCTGTCTTAAAAATGGTTTTTTGTAAATATCTACACATTATACTTTTATAAATAATGTTGCTTCAAGAAAAATACATCTACTTCCATAATAAAGATATCACTTAGAGTTACTTTTCATTTTGTAATAATTTATCACAAGAAACAGCATCACCATTTATAACATATTTACAAGGAACATGACCCACTCACTGTTGTGATGATTAATAACAATAATATATACATAACTATTTCTTCTTATTTATGTCCTTGTTTTCGTATGCAAAAGCTGTTTTCACAAAGCTCCTCTTTGAAAATTTTTAATGGAATGCAGCTGGTTTTAAATGGTTTGGAACCATTGTAGTGTATGCTCTGTGACCAATTTTTTACTTGCTGGTAATTTTTGGTTTGGAACCATTTAAGTGTACGCTCTGTGACCAACTTTTCTTTTCTGGAATTTTTTGGTTTTTTCCTTTCTGCTTTGTTTAGCATTTTGTATCTTTTTTTGTTTGTTTGCTTCCTCTTTTTTGCGGTTATTATTATTATGAACTTAAAAACTGGTATACAGAAGATGCTGACAGGAGTAAATATCTACACATTATACTTTTATAAATAATGTAGCTTCAAAAAAAAATACATCTACTTCCATAATAAAGATATCACTTAGAGTTACTTTTCATTTTGTAATAATTTATCACCAGAAATAGCATCACCATTTATAACATATTTACAAGGAACATGACCCACTCACTGTTGTGATGATTAATAACAATAATATATACATAACTATTTCTTCTTATTTATGTCCTTGTTTTCATATGCAAAAGCTGTTTTCACAAAGCTCATCTTTGAAACCTTTAATGGCATGTGGCAGGTTTTAAATGGTTTGGAACCATTGTAGTGTATGCTTTGTGACCAATTTTTTACTTACTGGTATTTTTTGGTTTGGAACCATTTTAGTGTACGCTCTGTGACCAACTTTTCTTTTCTGGAATTTTTTGGTTTTTTCCTTTCTGCTTTGTTTAGCATTTTGTATCTTTTTTGTTTGTTTGTTTGTTTCCTTGTTTTGGTTATTATTATGAACTTAAAAACTGGTATACAGGAGATGCTGACAGGAGAGAATTAAAGTCAAGGATGTCATTAAAAGATTAGGAGAAAGCCAGCATAATATCATGCAGGGCAAAGTTTGCTGTGTAAAACATAGCATTTGCATTTGCAAGTCAGAATATGAGTCTTTTTGACTGATAAACCGGGAAGATAGTAATTTTTAAAGTTACCTGCAACTTACTTTGTGTTTTCAAAATGTTGTCTAGAGTGGCTTTAGCATACAACTTAAAGAAAAACTGTCACTTAATTTTCCCTGGCTTTCTTCATATTGAGATTCTAGAAGCCTTCAGCCTATAGTTAGTTCCATGTTCTGTGTGCCTTGTTTTTGCGGAGGTTATATGAGAATTTTTTTTGTTGAAGGGGGGCTCTCCATAGACCTAACAGCACTAACAGCAGCAGGCTACAGCTAGATACTTAATTATTTCTTCTTTCAAGCTTGCTGAATAGTTTCCCTCATTGTATAGTGCGTAACTCCCATGGCCAGTTGCAAATATTGGTGGCCACATCATACCTTTTGCAAGAAACAAGAGCTTCTACAAAGCTTCTCATTGAGGGTACTGTTGAAAAGGTGTTCAAATTATCAATAAGACTAACTGTAGGACTTCTTCCTGCTATGTAATCAGTTTCTATCAATTCCAAGTCATCTTCTGAAACATTCAAGATTTGCCCCACAGAGCGCCAATTTTTCTTTGTCTGTTTCTCCAGTGGATCCAGCATCCTTTGCACATAGTGCAACAGACTCTGATTTTCATGGTTACGCAGCTGTAGCATTTCAGAGACTTTGCAATCTAAGAGTTCAATGGATAAAAGTGTTAATGAAGAAACGGTAATGGGGTTAGAATTGTAACATGAAATATGCTTTTTTGTATTACTATTGGTGGAAAAAGACATGCTTTAATTGTTAAGAATTGCCAAGGATTAAAATTGATTTATTTTTAAAAATGCAATGTTTGGCAGTGATTGGAAACTTAGTCTGCACAGTCCAGGTACAACAGATTAATTCAGGGGATGAGTTTACTTCCATTTTAACACCCATTTACGAGGCTACAATTGTGCATTTTATTGCACCAAGCTAAGAGGAGGGTACGTGTAGGAGATGAAATACAACATCTCAATGACTAGTGGCACACTCATCCCATTGCATAACAAGAATAAACAAGTAATCAACTTGGGTCTACCAAATGGCAGGATGTACGCCTCACCTGCTGGAATCAGATCAGTTTTTGTCTGGTCTTGTCTAAGCTCACTGGTGAGAGGCTCCTTGTGGTCATCAGCTGCTTGTGCATCTGAGAGAAATAAAATTAAGAAACACTTTGGTTATCCTAGAAAGCAACTTACTGATTACCATACAATCAGGAAAGCCTTAACCCGCTAACTCCCTGAAGTGATTAACATACGACTTCTCCCTGTGATATATCCATACATTATCCAACAAATTGGTAATGAGAATAATCAAATTTATTAGATTATTCTCATTACCAATTTGTTGGATAACAAGCATGTCTTGAATTTTGTGCAGCATTAGTTCATTTTCATCATTAAGAAACGTAAAACATTTCTGAGACATCACAATCTGGAAAACAGAGTTACATTTAAAAAACAGACCTGTCATTTGTAACATTAAAGTTGTAACAAAAGAATAAAGCAAATTTTAGCTAAAAAATGTGATCTACTATGGGGTTCCTTCATTCTGAGAATAACCCTCACTACCACACAATCACCTTACATAATATCATTAACATTGCTAATTGTGCTATCTCGAAAGGGTAAATGAGGCGTCGATAAAACTTTCAGTAGCCTGAGCTGAAAGTTTTTACATTTAAAAGGCCTCAGAGGGAGAGTTATTCTGCTTATTTATTACTTTTCTTCTTCGGAGAATTCAGGATTAACTCTTTAATCCCTGAGAGTGACTAGCATCTAATTTATCCTTTCAATATCACCCCTGAATCAAACATTAAGGTCATGAGAATAAAGGAAATGATAATGAACTGAAGAACCTCATGATTATTAAACAAACTTCCTTGCCAGCACATTAGCAAATGTACAGAGAACTGTACGGGGAATATGAATACTGATGTTAGAGTGTGAAAGGATGAATGTGAAGAAGGAAGGAGTGACTCCTCACCTGTTGGAATTAGTCCAATATTTGGCCTGTTATTCATGGGTTGTCTAAGGAGAAACTGCTCCTGCTCATCTTCTCGATTATCTGCAGAAAAAGAATGATCGATTTTTCAAAAGTCCAGAATATAACCGACCCTTATGTCTTTTTAGCTTAGTCCACAAACACTGATTTTAAGGAGGATACAGCCATGATGAGGTTAACTACAAATAGGTGCCTAAAAAAGCTAATAGTTGTGGGAAATCCTAGTGAAGATTGTGAGGCTCTTTACATCTTCCAGTATGTGATAAATCAAGGAAGTGCACTCCTTTGCTGCTCAGAGTTACTTAAGCTAAATTTCCTTTAGTACAGATGCCACTCTAGCATTATCTAAGCTATCATCACTGTCAACTAAGTACTATGCTGAAGGTTGTGAAAGTAAGTCTGACCAGCCATACCGTGAACAGTTCCACCATTGTCCTCTCTTCCCTCGGATCTTATCCCGTGCAGTGGCACATGCTCATGTAAACCTACAAAAAAGTTTATTGACATATCACCACAAATGGCTTGGCTGTTAATTGATAAAATTGTAATACCAAAATTTTTATTTAAATAAGTGATTAATGATTTGTACGACTATCCAAGATCCCCATAGAGTAAATCCGAGAAATGGTTTTGTTTTATCACATTAATAAGGTTCAATTATCCTTTGTTAATAATGATAGATGTTAGTTGGTATGTGCCATCACCCTTCAAGATCTTAGCACTTCGGATTACCCTTAAAACATCTCCCCAAGAACCCTCTATTCATTGTTTTATGTGTGTGTGTGTGTGTGTGTGTGTGTGCATCTGAGAGAGAGAGAGAGAGAGAGAGAGAGAGAGAGAGAGAGAGAGAGAGAGAGTTTGAAATAAGGGTTCAGATGAAATAAATTCAGATGTGTAAGTCTAACATTCATTTCCCAGAAGGAATTGCATTGCCACTCAAATACACCCTGCCTCAGATTTTCCAGACCAGCTTTCTCGTTAGGGTGGGTTTATTTGAGAAAATCTTTTCATTAGTATTTAAACTTTGGTGACAGTGTATTAAATAAATCTCTCTTTAACCTAGAAATAAGTCAAAAGTTTCCAAAGAAAAAAGGTTGTGTTGTCAACTGAAAATAATGGAAACATTACTGCATGAAAAAAACTTATCAGTTTGCTAAAATATCATGTTGCGTTGCAAATTGTTAATACGAATTCAGTGCTTAAGATACTATCCTCAAAAAGTTAACAACAGTGTTGCAAGGTACGACTTTCTCTTACCTTCAGAATACAGTGTTGAACCATTCCTACATGAAATAATTCTTTTAATCACGTATAAAACAAAAATAAGCACGAGGATACACGCTATGATCATCCCAACTATTATTGAAGGTGTTATATTTCCATTGGATGTAACATTTTCTGATGATGCAGTAGGTTTCCTGACATTATCACCAGAAGTACTCTCAGTTTTATTTGCTTCAAAATTGTGACCAGGAAGAAGAGTAACAGCCGTGACATAAGTTGTATCAACACTGGCTTCTGTAGAATTTTCCAAAGCTTCTTTGCAGAGCTTGTTTTGGTGGTTCTTAAGACACTGCCAGTCTTCTCCCATTCCAATTTCTTTACATTTCTTCATTCTACCTGTTTCGTCCACACTAGGACAACAAAAGTAGCACTCTTGACAGAAACCATTGTCATCGAGGTAATGTCTTTCAGGGCACTTGGTGCCACATTTACGATTTTGAGATGGCGTGCACTGCTGAATAACGTTCTTTAAGCCACAGTCATGGCAGGATCTACAACTCTCAAAGCCATGATGGTCTGAAAATGTCTTGTTCTGTTGGCATGGTTCGCATTTAATAGCGGTGTAGTTAGTGATCTTGGAACCACATTGTGGTACGAGTCCTAGTCCTGGCGGGCATTTAGGACACGCTATACACTCCGTTTGAGCTTCCGGATCATCCGGGTAGTATTTCAGGAAGTTTTGCATCAAAGGACATCTTGTGGAACGTCCTAACACAGATTGTGACCACAAGACTATCACCAAGATCAGCTGAAATTAAAGAGAAATAAAACATTTTGAGAAAAAAATTTAAGAAACTGCGACATAATATTCAAGTAACTACGATTACATTCGGCAAGTTCGAGTCGGAAATTTAATAGGAAAAATTTAATTTAAATAGAATCTTTTTCGACCACTCTTGTTTATCGAGATAACCAGTCAGACATAATGTATATGTAACTGGCAGTGACTGACCGACAGATTACCGACAGGCGGCCGACTGTTGGCCGACAGTTGGCCGACAGTTGGCTGCCTGTCGGTGGAGGGCAGCTGCTCTTCACAATTAACATAAACAATAACAGCCAATCTTCGTCGACTGTTTCAGTTACAAAAATCGATAAGTGAAATCAGTGAAGTCTATATATTACGTGTTATAAACGTCCTCAAGTTCGTCGAGAAATCTGAACTAGATTAAGATTGCGAAAATGGTTACATACTGACGTACTTACGAACTACGGTGAACAGAGTATTTGGAAATATTCACCTTTACGGCGCCCTTCAAAGCCTTCATGCCGCTATTGTTATTTTTGCTTCGTTTGTTGCCCTGTAAAAAGAAATAAACACGCATGCTTATACGAACCTTACTAAAAGTCTGCCAGAGTTATTCGTAGGAAAAATTTATGGATTGAGTACTCAGTAACCTACCATTTGTGTACGGCTCAGCCTGTGTTTCTGTTCGTATCGATGTTAAAGTAGATACTATAATTCCCAGATCTCGTGGGCGGAAAATTTCGTCGATAAAAAGCTTCCTAACAATAAGTTGAAAATACTGGACGTTAGCCGTAGGTAACAGTCTTATGTAAGTTGCCGGAAATAACAGTTACGTCCTATCATCAATACGACGTCTCTACGTCATACGTGACCCATCAGGTCAACGTTGTGCACGTACATCTTAGCAACTACGTTGTTATTTCATCTCTTAGGAATCAAAATTTTGCCTTGAGTCATAAATTAACCCTTTAACTCCCAGATAAAATTTGTCATTCTCCTTCCTGTCAACTACACAATTCTGATTATGTTAGTTCAGAGAATTTAGTATTGGATCAACTTATTATCCCCAAATTTATATTTTTCTTTATATTTATCACTTATCTGGTTGATATTATATTGATATTGTAAGGAGAAATTCTGTCCTGGTCACTCATGGGAGTTAAAGGGTTAAAAGATACCTGACAAGAACGGAGGAGATGATCTTAGGGTTTTCAGCTTCCTGGTGCTGCTGCGCCACGAAATACCGGTGGCCAAAGAACATTCGAGATGAGGACTCCATTCTTTTAGAGTAAGGTCATACACAGTTTTGCAAGCGGACAAAATATTGCATTGTGTTCATTATTCAAATGCAAATACGCATTTGAATAATCGATTAACTTTCTGTGAATTTGAGCAAGATGAATATTGCGTAACCGCTTCCATAGAGCTGAATATTATACCGCTTCCAAGAGAAGCTGCGATATATTTTCTGGTTTGATTGACGCGTCCGTGATTAGCGCCTTTAGATAGAAAATTACAGCTAGTGTTTCAGTTCAGGATAAGACCCCGTGTAATCAAGATCGTTTCTGGAATAGAAGACAAGTCTTACACCGGAATACCTGATAAAGTAATCAACACCCGCCAAGGTTGCTTAGCAACAACTCATTTTGTGCTTGTGTTACTCGGTAGTTGTGATTCAAAGCGAAAGTCATCGCTAGTTTTTATCTCTCTATTTTGTTTCCTTTAATTGCCACAAGCGCGTTTCCAAATTGAGATTATTCTTTAAGCTATGATCACACAAATACTTAAGTTATTCCTTGATGCAATGATTTTAGTTGACTGCTTTGATACAAGACAAAGGAATAAAGAAAGAAAGATCCGTATATAGGTTTAGTGTCGATCATGTGCACGTGTATCAACCCGGGAATTGAGATTCAATTCTACCTTGATAAGAAACATTTACATAATGTGACATTCATAGTTTAATTATCAGAACTCGATAAGTCTGAAGTCGTCGGTTACCCTCGCCTGGGTCGACCAAAAACTATTGATCAGCATTGTTGTTACTGAGTCCCTTTTTACCACTGTAAGCTTCTACATCAATTGCAGAGAGGTGTAGATTTCACCGCGGCCATTACTGAAACAGAGAACTGAAGGTAACTTCATGCCAATTTAGCAGTTTTTTTTTAAATTTTGAAATTGCTGCAAGATCACTTATTTTCCAGCCTTCGATAGTTTGACTGCACAACTCGCATGGACACGAGAGATATTTAAGGTTGATTCAAGGCGCATTTTCAAAGTTTTCAAAAATTCGGCAATATGTAAAACTTTGAAAATACGAGTGAAGAGGCTTACGAAGTTAACGTGTGTCCAAGACTTAGTTAGTACGATGCCTGACCTCTCTCCACGTTAAAGACGCTCCACAGGCCTCTATCGTGAATTTCTTTTTGTTGCTTATTGTGTAAAATTCCTATCTCATGACTTTACCACGACAACGGAGAAAGGTTTGACCAATTTCCTATTAGTGAATCAAAACGTCTATCATAAGGTAACTGGGTGATGCCCAGGGCTTGCTTCTTAGAATTACACTGTCTTAGGGTTAATTAGTAAAATTGGCCTAATAGGAGAACGACTGTTTGCAGCTTTTATTTTCCGGAAACTTTAACCTCACGCTACCTCGACGACTTGTGCCAGCCCAAGTTTTGCTGAGTCACGTTAAAAAATATCGACCGAGCCCCTGCAAGCGGGCTGTTAGCTCAGGAGTGATTAATTCAGTCATTTTTCTTTAATTTCTGCGCCCTGAAGATTTTCTATTCTCGTTTACCACAAAAGATGACTCCAAACTACAGCCAAGATAGTTTCTATCAGCATTTAATGGTTTACTACCCAACTCATAAACAAAAATAATTTCGTTGCGTCTATATAAGTTTACTATTTTATCTTAGAGTGCTGATTACCATTTTTCAAAGGGCATGACTACCTAAGTTGCCCACCAATATTTAATTGATTGGAATAGCGGATACGGGCAAGCACAGGTTACAAATGGGGGCGTAGCTTGGATTTTTTAAAGGTTTCGTCGGATTTGTCTGTTTTTGAAAACCTGAAGTGTAAGTTTTGTACAGAAGTGATAGCAAAAAAATTAAAAAAAAAAAGTAACCTCACATAGGGGTTATAGAAGAAGCATCCCAGGAAACGTCACCAAGGTATGCCCCAATACTTAACTAGAAAAGATTAACTACAATGACACAAAACTCATTATTACCTCAGAATTGATCACTGAGAAGGAATTTTTTAATTGCGGGTCGTAAAATCAAAAGCAAAGTACTCACAGTGGCCAATCAAACAACTTTAATTTAAACGTCAAAACTGAGAAACCTGTGAGAGAGCTGAAAGTCTGTAAATTAACGCATTAGAGCTGCTTTGTACTCTTGGAAAAATTCCTTTTACTAAGTCGCGATTGGTTTCAGTTTTGCATCTGGCTATGTGGTGGTGCGAATTTCTCGACGACACGATGAAAATATCAACAAGCCAATTGACATCGACACTCGATTGAAAAGTAATTAACCTGACTAATTAAGCCAAGTTTAAAACTTCTGCTGGTCACATACAGGATGACCTCAGAGCATGCATAAAATCGAAAACATCCTTGTTAAAGTAGATTCAGCACGCAGTGCTTACTTTCTTCTCAATGTGAGATCAAGCAATGCCAAGCGAATTAGGCTGCAGTATTTTCTTAACCTCTCATAGTACTTTAAGGAATACCATAAGGAAAGATAACTTCAGACAACCTTCCGTGTTCTATACCACTGGCCTGTTTGAAATTTGAAACATTCAGATATACAGAATACCGGCATATTTTCCTACAATAAAGAAACTCTGACCATACACAACATAAAAAAAAAAAACTTCGTCCTCAATTGCGCTTAAGAACGTTACCTAAAATTATTTACAACTTTACAACTACGAGCAATAATTAAAAAGGTTACAAAAACCTAGAAAAATTATGTAAAATTGCTTAAATCTTCAAAATACCTGATTGAAAAGATTCTGTAATCTAATCTTAAAACAAAATCTCTCGGACAACGTGTATCCCTACTTTCTAAAAATATGTTTAGATCACTTTGATTTTACTAAATACACAAAATCAGTTACGTTATTTACAAGACCGACCTAATAACTATCAACTATCACCGTTCTTAGAGTCCAGCAACCTCTTGGGTATTGTCAATTCTTACCCTCCTCTGAACATCTCTCCTGTTTTTTCCTAAACCAGTCCATAATGTCACTGGCAACATCGTTGCGTTCCAGCTCCTGAAGGACGTCTACGAACTCTTTTAGAGTCGCACATTTGAAACTGCACAACTTTCCAATCAAAAGCCTTATTGCGCTGACTCCTGGTTTCCTGCTCTCTATCTCCAACAGCTGAATGTCTTGTTTGGTAATTCCATACTCGTGAGCGACATGTTTCCAGTTCTTTTGAACTGGCGAGGAATCAGAATCTAGTTGCAGAATAAAATCCACGACATCATATGGAAAGTCGGCGAGCTTGAAGTCTAATATAACGAAAGAGCAATCTTTAGGGTTCTTAAGTTGCTAATAACATTGATCTTACACTCAAAGGACGGGGATTTATTAATTGTCACTCATTTACATACCTTCAGGGATGTCACCCGTAAGAACACAATCTTTGCCGTCTCCTTGGCCATCATGGCGGACTGTAATTGAATGAATTTAATTATAGTGAATTCACTGGCAATTTAGCTTTTCCAGTTGCCGGGGATTATTACATTAATGGAAAGGTATAATAATAGGGAAGAGAGTGTATGTGATTCATCCAGTTTGGCCCTCGTCAAAACTAACGGTTAATATTAGGCATTTTGTTTGAGTTTTGTTGAAAAAATGAAAAAAAAATTAAAATTGCGTTGAATATTAGAGAAGGGGCAACAGCACTGATGAAGAACTGCGCCAAATGAAGGGCTTTGTTCAGAGAACTGTTTCACAGGTGTCTAACTGTTACGATTCTGGTCAAACAGAGACAAAAAGAATTCAAGAAGGCAATTTCACAGGGAAATATTAGTGGTGTTTTGGTTTCCATTTATCTGAGCGCTAAAGAAAATCAAATAAACTTGGTAAATAGGCACGTGAAAATTTTGAACCACCCACCTTCTAAGGACTCAGTTCCTTGCGAAGCCATTAAACTTTCAGCAGAGCCAGAGTTGCTCTGAAAAGAGCTAACGTTTATCTTGGTTTCTGAGAATAAAAAGTGGAAAAAACTGATGTGATTACTAGTAATACTAATCACACAATAAAAGCAATATTCTTGGGGACAATTGTGTAACCCTTTTGAAGCCGGCAAAGAGTTCTCAAAAACTGTTTGGAAAGTTGTGGTAGGTCATAAAGAACACGGAGAGGTTCGAAGAGGAAAGGAAGTAGTAATTTTCAATACAGTGAAGAAGATTTACAGAGAATTTAACGTTTGCCAACTAGCTGAGTAGCTGTAACGTAATTTGGAAATTAGAACTCCGATCAGGTCTACGGTATCAGCCGATTTCTCTGTAAACGAATAGAAAATTATCAGCATTATAATCTTACCTGGCAAAGAGCGGCTCGGTGAATTCTCAGTGAATCGTAAGGGGTTTAGTGGTATTCCAGCAGGATCTGCAACAACAAGTTCAAAATCATTTTGTAAACGATCTGCATTCCTCGTGAGTGGAAACGGTCAAAAAGTGAGCAAGCCATGAACGATAAAGTCTCCTTTTGCTCATTCTATTTGGCTTGATATGATGTCCATAATCTGTTCTATCCTCAAAGAGTCGACCACGTAAAAAAGATTCAGTTCCCTGTGCTTAAACTTTCCATTTCAAAGAAAACAGAGTGGGCTAATTGTTGGAGACTCGGGCTTCTATCATGATATCTGTCGAGTTGAGGAGGAAAATGTTCCGAAAATATTGCGAACTAACCCGTAATGGATCCCACCCACGTCACTCAAGAGGGTTTCTAGGCCAAGACCCCTCGTCGCTTAGAATATGTGGAGCCCTTCACTAACGCTATTCCTATTGTCGTTTATTTTGGTTTAATCCTACCTGTCTGTTCTGGCTTTGTCTTCTTAGACATTCTGCATTTTATCCAGCAAACTCTTACAGTCTTTGTAAAGGTGACGATCAAAACTATCGTTGCTATTATTCCCAATATATACCGCACCAATGACAAAGTTTTGCCTTTCCGTCTCTGAGTTGTATTTTGTTTCGCCGAGACGCTTGGAGAGGCGACGTTTCCTTCTGGCAATAGAACTTCTATACTTCCAGGAATCGAAGTTGATACACTTCCACGATACAATGACGATGGTTGTGGCATGATGCCCAGCGTGGATTCTACGCGGCTTGTAGAGGAACGGTTTACTACTAACAGTGGAACTTCAATAAACCCTGGAATTTCTGCAGAAAAAACGCTTATCATCGATGAACGCTGTGGCTTTATGCTTGGAGTCGACGCTAAACTTGTCGAGGTAGCACTTTTTAGAGAGAATAAAACCTTCATAGACGCTGTAATTGCTGTAGACGAGCCACCGCCCATTGGAGATGAAAGTTGTGGCCAGATGCTAGGAGTAGGCTCTATTGACAAAGTCGTGGTTGAGACTGTTGCTGGCGTATTTTCTCTGCAATCAGTGATGTGGCCATCAAAGAAATACCCTTTGGGACATTTACGTCCACATTTGCGATTTTGGTCTGAGGTGCATTCTTGAAGGACATTTCGTTGACCGCAGTCCTGACAGGGTTTGCAGCTTTCCACTCCATGGCTGTCGGAGTAGGTCTCGGTTTCTTTGCATTGGACACATTCTATCTTAGTATCATCTGTGATCGATGAGCCACATTGAATGTTCAGCCCGTGACCCTCAGGACAGTCTGGGCACGGTCTGCATTCTATGAATTCACCGCTGGTACTTACTATCCAAAAGTTTTGAACCAATGAACATGGGGGTTGACCTTCTATCACAGATGCCATCACCCAGAGAAGAAACAGAAGCTGAATGGTTCTCTGAAACAAACAATTTAAATGAAGGTAGTACAATAGACCACTCTATAAACAGTTCATGTAATTATTCCTCAAATTTTTATCATTTTATGATAAAAACAATGCTTTTTAACCCGTGTGCGTCTTTTAGCCCCTGTTCGGGAATTGCGCTCGCGCTCCTTCCGTCTTTGGAGGAGTGAAGACTGGACCCGAAAAAAACAGCGGAAATCATATCATCTGTGACCAGAAGGAGAGATCAACCACCAAATCGGAAACCCCTAGTTTCAGCATTAAACAAAACGGCTCAATATATAGCCAACGCCAGGAGAGAAAATTGTCAGCTTCCAATAGCAATCACCCCCCAAATAGCCTTATAAACGGAACTTACGCAAACACATCTGTCAAACAGCTAATTAGAATGCGAAGATTTTATTAACCCTTTAACTCCCAGAAGTGATCAACATGAAACTTCTCCCTATGATATCCATACGTTAATCAGCAAACAGGTAATGAGAATATTCAAACTTAAAAGGTAGGAGCTGTTATCTTAATCTAGCACCAAGTTCTCATAACTAATTTTCAAGGAAGTGTTACCGTAATTTCCGGCCGTTTACCCGCACGGCCGATTACCCGCACCGGCCGATTATTGCATTCGGCGAAAAGGAAAGTCAACAGATTACACGCACTGGTGGATAACCCGCACGTCATGTTACTCAACTTTTTGATACATTTCAGTCTTTTTAAAATTGTCTGATCTAACTTTCGAAAACTTGAAAGCTTCTTTGTAGAGTTTTAAGGTCAAAGAAATTCAGACGCGTGCACAATTCTGTGTCAATATTAGCATATGTGCTTTATTGATAAAATTATACAGTAAAAACACTAGCGGCCCATGCCCAAATCTCAACGTTTCATACTTGACAGAATGCGAATTTGTGGTCACATTTTGTGCGAGCGATCGTTCAGCGCCATGTTGATTTGTTGAAAGAAAGCTGGGTGAGTGTTAAAACTTGAATTATTAAGTACTGTAGGTGATATCTCCGGCTCTATTGGGCCTAAAAACTCCCTTAAAACGGGAAAATTCTCTTTAGCTCAAGCTAGTGTCAAATGGAAATTTGTTACTGATGCGCCGGATATCTTTGGATTATTTTTGTCACCATCAAGGTTTTGTTTTCACGCGTGCAGGTAACAATTTGTTCGTCACGCAACTAATTATTCGTGAAATAAACTCGAGTCGGCATCATTTGCCACTTTGTGGCACTCTTAATACTATAAAATTCATTTGAGAGGTGGAAACGCATGCAGGTGAGAATTCTTTTCAATTCAACTACCAGTAGATTTTAAAATTTTTACGCGTTACCCGCGGGTAAACGGCCGGAAATTACGGTAAGCAGCTGGAGGGGAGAATTAACAATCTCATCTCGGGAGTTAAAGGGTTAAGAAGGTTAATATAAATGTAAGTGTGTAACAGACATACGTGCGTCACGGGAGAGAGAGAGAGGGAATTAATAATTCCCTATTTATTACGCAGAAAACTTTGGTTAAAACTAACGAAATACATATTTGTTTTAATCCTGAAAAATAGGCAGGTAGTGAACTTCGGTATCATTTAGGTTAGCTAGAGAAATTATCATATGGTAATTTACATTTAAATAATCACTTATGTTCTATGGAGAATAATCTAGATTTAATTTTTCAAGAACAAAATATAAAAGTAAACTTTGTCAGTGAGACTACAAGGCAAGCAGAATTATTGTTTACCATTACTGCTAAAATTTTACTGTCGACAAAAGTAAGACTGTAGATTTCATCGAGGCAATTTGCGAAAGAAAATTTGTCAAGTCAGCTTAATTTTAAAACGATTGAAAATAACGTGAAATCGTTCTCTTATTTATACTGGTATATAATTAGAAGCTCTAAGAAAATAAAGGGTCCAAACAGTATAAGGAACTCTTACCATTTTGATATCAACGAGAAACTCCTTTTTCAGAAGACTTGAGGCGTGATATCGGTTTCTGTAAACCACAAAGAAACACGCATTTTAATTTATATCGGCTGTGATGTGTACAGCCGGGCAAATTCGGCTATTTTTCCGTTTCCTTGTTGAAAAAAATGGAAGAGTTTTTGAAAGCCTCATCATAGAGTTACGAATCAAACCGCAAACCGATGTAACATGCGGTCGCTTTCAAAACAAAGTATACGTACGTACCACCTTGCACTCTCGATTACGCCACAAGGAAATTCTTGATTCTTGCGGTGTGTTCGCCGTATCAGCAACAAATAAAAACCTTTTTGCCAAATTAAGCCACAGCTGTCCTCCGCTTGAGTTGCATACATATACAGGCGTATATTACGCCAGTAGGGGAGTTAACACAATGAACCAAGGCACGTCCAGATAGTGAAAGGCTTTAATCGCAACAGGGGAACTAGACTCCGAACGAGTAACAAACAATATGGCAGACGCGACCATGGCGACGAGGAGGAAAACCGTCAAAAGGGCATGCTCAACCCAGATACCGCTGACCGGTACTGGCGTGACTTTCTTCTTTTTTTTTTTTTTTTTTTTTTAAGGAGAAACAAGAACTAAAAACAAGTTAACATACACTTAAGACTAACTAACAAATTGACACGCGCGGGCGAGTCAAAGTTCAGAGTTTAAAGATCGGTGTTCAAAGTTCAGTGTCATAATCTGCAAAACGAGAAGGAGGACGGCGGGTGCGCGATGATCTCCGTAGGGCAGGCGGAGAAGGCACCGCTGAGGCGGCTGCATACTCCACTGGGGAAGGATCAGGGCAGGGCGACTGTGTAGCGAAATCATCCATGGTATGGTCAACGGGAGAGGCAGGGGCTGGACTGTAAGACTGAGGGTTGACAACTGGTGGGTGTGTGGAAGCTGCGATGGCCTCAGGGATGGCAGGCAAAGAGGGGGGAGGGTGAGTCGTTGTAGTAGGACCATCTTCGTCGTCGGAATCAGAGTAGTGTTTGCGTAGGGTCGGAGAGGCACGGAAGGGATCACCCAAGTCAGATGGGACCTTGAAGCACTCAGATAGCTTGACATGGTACGATGAACTTCGCAACTGGGATCCAATGAACTTTTTGATGTTGCAGAATGGAGGATCAATGGCTACAACGAGATAGCGGTCACGAGCACGAGACTTGTTGAGGTCAGAATGGAGGTACACAAGATCACCAATATCGATCAGGGGGGTAGGACGCCTTGACTGACCAGGAGCTTTGGAACGTTCACTGAGGGGATGGTTGGAGAGACGCTGTTCATGCTGGAGGGAAATTATGTGGTCATCTGCGAGGGGTAACTGCTTGTTTGAGAACTGATCCCGCTGGGTCCACATTTCTCGAGAGGAAAGCCCTCTTGAACGGATACGTGAGTTTAAGGCTGAAGTGGCTACGGCGAGGGTGAGGGGAGAGACAGAACTACCGAGAGGCTCCTGACGTAACAGCTCATTCTCCAATTCCTGGACCGCTCTCTCTGCAACGGGGTTCTTGTTGGGATTTTTGGCATGGCCAAGCTCAATTGTGATTCTGTGTTTCTGTAAGAGTGAATCATTGACAAGGGCCTTGAATCCGGGAGCGGGGTCGGTGCGGATCACAGCAGGTGGACCATCCATTGGGCGCATTTCCACGCAAAGCTTTATAATGGCATCACGCAAAGTTTGGTGGCGTTCGTTCTCAAGAAAGAGACTGGACGTGTAAGAGGTCACTGTTTCACGGAGTACAAAGATAAGTTGGCGAGAACGTTTTATGACATCTGCCGCAAAGGACTGCCCAACAGTTTCAGGTGGAGGCGAAGTGGACTGGTCAATTCGTGCTGTTGGTGATCTCTGAATTGCTGCACAGGAGTGGCATCCATCGGAAACACGGGAGACTGCCTTGTCCAGGTCGAGGGCGAACAGATAACGCTTGGCAACCATTTTTAACTGGTGACAAGAAGGGTGGCTGAGCTGAATGTGAAGGGCTGTCAAGAGGCCATCCAAGGCCTGGCGAGGGACAATGATACACTCTCTGGTCGGTGACAAGGGATCATGACGTTGGACGACGAGCAGGCCATCACTTGCGATTGAGGCGACCTGCAAATAGCGTTTGACGTCCTTTATGTTTGTGAGCTTCTTGGAAGGTCTTGTGCCTTGGACAAGGTGTGCGTGCGTGCGGCGTAGGTCTGGGCATTCAGACTGTATGGCCAACCAGGCCGGACGGCTGGTGAAAGGGAGGCGGGCATTGCCTTGGAGGATGTCCTGGACAGTCGCGGCTCGGACAACAGAATCTCTGGTTGAGGCGATAAACAGGCAAATCTGACAGGTTTCATTCTCACAAGGAGCAGCATTTCGACTCGCGAAGTCTGACTGGAGGATAGAGGCGCCGGAGACGTGTCGCACTGAGGCCTGGTAGCGGCTGACAACTGACAGGAAAGTAGATACGCGAGGACTTGCGGAGAACTCGCCGCGGCATAGCTTCTCATAAGCCTGGACGCATGGCTTACTGTCCGTTAGGATACAGGCTTTATTGGATGACTGGATGAGGTATGGACTGAAGTGCTTTGTAGCCGCAGCGATGGAGAGGGCTTCTACTTCGCACGGAAGCCACGTTGTCTGAGTGCCCCGCAGCTTAGCGCTGAAAAAACCGGCGATGTGTAGCTTGTTGTTGCGCGTCACATAGAGGGTGGCGCCTATTCCTGGGTCCTTGACTGCGCCATCGGTGACGACCCATAGTTGGTCCTCAGGTCTAGGTAAGGTGATAGAGAGGGCTGAGGATAGGGCCTTCTGAGCGTTATGGAATGCAGCCCTGAGACTATCAGACCAGGTGATGGATTTTTGTGAAGTACGTCCAGCCGTGACGGCATCCAGCGGGGTTAGATAACTAGAGCACCGTGGGATAACACGAGACAGGACTTTGTACGCACCAATGAACGATCTCAAACGACCAACAGTGTTTGGCACAGGGTACGTGGCGAGGGTGTTGAGGCGGTGGGCACTGGCAGA